AAAAATAAATTATATCATGAATAAGTTATGTATTTATGTATAGTGTCTTTGGCTAAATATAGTTGAGATAAATAATATTAATATTCAATCGAAAGATATTAAGTCTATTTTCTTGCATTTTTCGCACAAAAGCGATTCCTTTGAGACCAGCCCAGAATACTCCTAAATTTAGTTACAGGGTAGTAAAATATATTATCGATTTTAAATACTTTCATAATAAGTAATAATACTTATTAATTCAAATATAAACCTTCCTGAGAAATCGGGAATAGGTCCGTATACTACTTTATCTAACCGTCGTCTTAACTAATATTTCTTAGCTTCTATCCATTCACCAGGGGAACAATAAACATATTTCTTATATGGTGGAATACATTTGGCTGGATTAATTATTCCAGTATATTTTGAATAACTTTTTCTAAATAAAGCATAAAACTCATTGCAAGCTACGGCATACTCTTCTTGTGTCTCGGGATTTATTACCTTCTGATTTTTCCTAATCATACCTAAATATTTCTTTCTGTCAGGAGTACCATCATTTCTCACCATATTTCAGACTCGCTATGCTTTCGTCTCAGGTCCCAACTTATAACTCCACCAAGCCTGTTGGATAGCTTTTGCACTATTTAAAACGCGATATGCCATTCTTACTGTAAATTCTGGCCATCTAGGATAATCACCTTTATAGCTTTTTTTGTATGATAAATAAATACCATAAAGCTTATTAATCTTATCAGAACTAAGTCCTTTTTTAATTTTTCATTTCAATAATATAGATCTAACATATACGACACGCCTTTGCTCTATTCTAGCAATGCATTCATTCAGATGATTATTTGCATATTTCTTGGTATTATTGAGGATAAATACTAATAAATTGCATACAGTGCAGTAAATGTGAGATGTACGCTCCCCAGGTCTAAATTTCCCATCTTTATATTCTCTTTCAGTCATATGAATGTATTTATTCTTTGAGAAGAATCTTGGGTTATATTCGAGAAGTTTCTTAAATAGAACACGAATATGGGAATACCACATTTTTGGCATTTCATTACTATATTTGTAATGCAGATTAGTTATTGCTTGTACTACTATAGGATTTAAACCAGAATAGTAGTTAGTTTTAACCATTTTATAGAGGTAAAGCCGATTTTAGTGATTTATAGCTGTTTTAAAGACTTATGGTGATTTATAGCAAGTATATTATAATAAAATATCAGATTCATTTTTATTCGATTGTTTGGGTGAAAACACATTCATATTTTTTTTGATTCAGTTATATTAGATCTGATCACTGTAGATGGCTAAACTATAAAGTTTGTATCACATAAGATCTCTGCCAGTTCCACCTGGTAAATGCTTTTAACAGAATATGTTAATTCGACTACTCCAATGCTTTAGAGATGTGACAAAGGTTATGAATGGTTTATAACCCTTTATTGAATAAAAAATATGGGAAGACGGTGCTCACAATGTGCTGGTAATTTTCCCTGTGGTCTTTCAGAAGCTAAGGAAATCGCTCACAGTAGAGGAGGTATGTATCTTTCTATAGAATATATAAATCTCTGTGTTCTAATGCAATGGATATGTAATAAGGGTCATAGATGGTTTTCAAGTTTTAATTGTATAAAGCACTCTAAGACATGGTGCCCATATTACTTAAATAAACATGAAAATCTATGTCGCGAAGTCATAACTAACATTCTTGACCCACCTTCCAGCATCCGCCGACCAGATTTCTTGAAAATACCTAAACATCCTCAAGGACTAGAACTTAACATTTACTATCCGCAGTATGGATTTGCTATAGAAGTACAAGGCAAACAACATGAGCAACATATAAAATATTTTCACAAAAATGAGGAAGATTTTGAGAAGCAGTTGATGCATAATCATGCGAAGAGAACTTGATTGCTTTAAAATATGTTTAGTATTACGAGAATCTATACACAGTCATTCCAAATCATCTTCGGGAGTTAGGTCTTGTTAAATAAGCATAAAACTTTAATTACATTTTGTGCGATTCATTTTTTTGTGCAAGAACGAGAAACAAACATACTTAGAACATCCCCAAAGAATTCTCAGAACATATGAATATATGTGAAAAAAATATATACCCGAAAAATAAAATCGATATATATATACTGTATATAACTATATATTATATAATGCATGATGCTTCGCCTATCATCTCAAATTTCGTACTGACATGTAGTGAGGTTGAGCTTATATAAAAAATTTTTATTTTCCGATGCACATTGTAAAATCGCAAATTGGATAACTTTATTACGAAAATAAATTATGTCATGCTACACAATATAATTCTTGCTATATTTAGGATAGTTTCATACTATTATAATAGAATCAGAAAAAAAATCTTTTAATCTTGAGATGGTTGTGTATCCCTATTTATATAACAAAAGTTAATTTAAATACAGTATAATAATAACGATTAACGGCAAAGCGAATAAAACAAATTGACATACTTGGTAACAGCCCTGGGTGTAACAGGAGTAATGTTAGGTTCATATGCAGTGGTTTTAGATAGTTCGATTGAAGTAGTAGTTTCAGTAGACGCACCATTTTCTGCGTTGGAAGCTTCATTATCTATACGTCGTTTCTTGAATTGCATATCCTGCAATCCTACCAACAAATGCTCCTCCTGCAGCAAAAGCTTCATGAGTTCTAAGTTGTGAATCTAATGCAACACCAGCAGTCGCCAATGCGGTTGCACCTGCCGCCACAGATGTAATTTTTCTGTTAGTCGATTCTGCCATTGAATAATATATTTGATATTGGATTTAAGAGAGAGGGATAAAAAAGAATAAGTATCTTAAACGTCTTTTATATAGGCCCTGAATTTGTGTTTTAACTAAAATGACATATGAACTTTCATGTATTATAAAAATGTAACCGAAGGTATAAAACGGGAATCATTTAGTTGATAGATTGTTTACACGCACAATGACACTTCATGCATTTCTCTCAAATGAAAGTATAAATTGGGAATCATTTAGTTCACTATCATGAGGGTTAATAAACACCTGAATAACATATGTAGATTTATATTTATATTTGTAAAACGCACACATTTTAAAAATCAATCAAAACATTCTTTATTGCAAAGTAATACATGAGAAAGGGCCGGCCGGCTAAGTAAAAAATGAAACTAATAAAAGATATTGGAGTAGCAAGTTGTTTCAAGGGAGGAATTTGCTGAGCCCCAACTCATATAATGGCAGTTTCTTCCTCACTACTCAGTAACGATATAAATGAGTATTATCTATCCAAGCACCTATCTTTTCTAAGTTTTTGCTATTTAAATTTTTCTCACAATAAAATCCCTTTATTGTATCTTTCCCAATTACTCCTATCCCAAGTCTACTAAGAATATCAACCGATACAATGCCACACATCTGATCTAAAGAATAATCATTCGCATCCTTAATCCTATTAAAAATGTCAATAAATTATTCCCAGATTACAGAAATGATATTTGCGAATTTTTGGCTCAAGCTTGCAATCAAAAAATGTTAATTAAACCCCTAATACATAAAGCATTGATTATTAAGAATTATTTTGTTTTTATCTTACCAGAAGAACTGGAAGAGCTTGAAGATGAATTAGTTGAAGAGCCTCGTGAATTAGTTTCAGATTCATTGGTCGAATTAGCTTCAGATTCATTGGACACACTTTGTTGATCAAAATCAGGTCTTTGAACTACCGCATAATGTTGATTTATTTTGTTTTGGAGATCTTCAATAACAACATTAATTGACATGAATCTGGATGTAACGGATTCTACTAGGGATTTAATACTGCTAAAGTTATTATGGCAGGCTTCTTCGATATTATTAACTTTCGTAGTTATGTTATTGATCATTGAAAAAATTTTCTGCGCCTCCCTAGTGAAGTAATCATCACGTGCCTTATTTTTTTCAGCTTCCGCGATAAGTTTATTATTAAGATCATTATTGATTCTGTTGAGCTTCTCAGTGAAAATAGAATTAATATCGGAAATACATGCGTCAAATTTATCATTAAGTTCAGTAAAGATCTGGTCATGAAGTGACCTCTTTCCTGGTATATTATTTAGTATATCAAGATCAATGAGAATTTTGATGACATGTGCGGAGAGTTCATTAGAGATCTTTTGTTTTAGATTCCCATACATGGTGATGATCCCCATGAATATCGCTGGACTAACGAACAAAAAAACAGCAGTTAAGACCAAAAATGGTATGCTTTCAGAAGAGTTGAATAATGACAAACTGGATATAATTAGGTAAATTGATGCGTAGTAATTTTATTAAGAGATTATTGGTGGATCAAGTTTTTTAAGATATTAACGATTGATTTTTTTAATATGCAATTCTCTTGCATAAATGCGCTGGGAAAAAGGTTTATTTTATACTGTTTACCTACTACGCGTGAAAAGAGAATTTAGCCTGATTTAATTAAGTGAAATAAAATTACGTTGCTTTATTATTCATAATTACGTTTTTTCATCTATAGCAACCTGAATTTAACAACAGTGCTTAAAAGAAAATCCGGTGAATTACGGGTTTATGATAAATCAATATGCGAAATTTAATACTAATGGAGTAGCATCATATGTGGGCATATACCCAGTACTCCCAAAATAAGAAGTTCAATAAATCCACTCCTTATTTCAATTGTTATAACAAAAAAGGAATAAAATCGGAATATTTGTTCATTATTTCTCGATATATGAATTATACATAAACGGATTAATGTGTGATTAGCCTATACACGTAATATGTTGGTATTACTAATTCCTATTCAAAACGGATTAATGTGTAATTAGTAATTTGAATGTGCCAACATAAATAGGATAATAAAATTTACCGTTTATCCTCCTTTTTCTCACTAGATTTGAAAAAAGAAAATTTATCAGATCAAGCTAATTTCCCTCCCGCAGTTTGATAGAACAAGAGGAGTTTCCATTTTTGATTTTCTTTTTAACGACGCCTGTCTTACGATCTACATGTAAATCAGGATGTGTTTTTTATTAGTAATTCAGAATTGCGTAATAAGTGAGATAGAACATACGAGAACTTTGAGGAATGTTCATCAGCATAGCAACACAAAAATACGGTATTACTCTTGACTGGGCTTATTAATAGATCCTCTGCTTCGGCAAAAATAACAACTGCAGATGCTGGTGACGTATTACTGCGGAGAAGTATAGTGGTGACGTACGTACTTACATGATATATGCTCGATACAAAGTTTTACATGACCAAACATTCATGATACTGCTTATAGGTGATGTTTTTGAACGTAAATTAAAGATAAGTATATCTTAGTAAAGACATGGAACAAAACTTACTAATTGATTCTGATCTTAGTGACGGTAATAATAAATTTGGGTTAGACGCTGATACCAAGCCAGAGGTGCTATTTCATAATGATAACGATGAGTTCTGGCTGTTCGATGATGACAATGAAGAAGATAAAGATATTGTGTTTTCTAGCAAATTATATGACGAATGGGATTATAAAAAGATTTTGGTAAAAATGCTTAGAAAAAGCTTTATCGAGACCGGGAAGCTCGTCAACATTTTATCCTTCTTAGACTATTTACCATGCGTCTTTCCAATATATCTGATCAAGCAAAAAATGGATTATTTATTGCATTTTCTAGATCTAATTCATTTGGTGTATTAGAACACAACGCATTATTGGATGCTTTAGCTCATCCTGTGAAAGGTTTAAATTTTTTCGAATATGATGAACTCGGGTTTGATTTAATAAACAATGCAAAGTTTCAATAAATCGCTAACTGACATGATTGATATTATTTTTTTTCGCAATGAGAATTATATGATGTTGTAAATGTAAAGACTCACTTTATTAATACACGCAAAAAATAATACAAATCGTAATGCAAATATATATATGCGATTCACACATCGATTCTTTCAGTACTGATTTATCCGAATATCTTCTATGCATTTCAGTGATCGGGTCTACATGACCGGTCTATGCTACAATTGCGAACTTGAGTTTATTGCTTGAAGTATTGCAGGTAAGACAATATTCCAACTTATCTTGGGAATACAACTTCGCTAATTCAGGATCATAAGGGAACTGATTCACATTTTCGCAGTACTATGAGCCATATAATCCATAATTCCCATGTTTTCCATCACAAATAGGGCATGGTGAACTCTACGGCTGAGGTGATGTAAAATCATAATTATCAATCCCTCTGAAACTATTTTCGAATTTCAAGTATGGAAAGTGCTCTAAGATGGATTTGATAATTAATTCTGGATCAGGTCTGACTTCAAAAGTTATAGGCCCTTTTTCTTCACATTGCTCAGAAGAAGATAAATAGGACACTTTGTTTTCTGGCTTCGAATTTATGAGAAGGTGGGCTTCTGATAATTACCATGGCTCACATCCAGTTTCTTTTTTATATTTTTTGTATAAGTTGGAACGAAACTTATCTTTCAAAATGCTTGGTAACCCAGTTAATTTGGCATGCTAGTCCAGATACTCAGGGGTTAATATTTTATCGGACTTGCTTATGTTTCCTTGTTTTTTTATGATTACAGATCAATTTAAATTCCTGGATAGATAGAAAGCTGTCTAATATTTCTTATCATATTTCCAAAAAAAAATAATTAGATCATCTTTCAAAGTATCTATGATATAAGAAAGAGGTAATGAGACTATGCAGTTATCTCAATTTTACGCTGTTCACATTTAATAAAGTAAGATCTAGCTTTATACCTACCTTCTATACTTTCCTCATCGTCATGGCCTAACTTGCATAATGGGCATAATTTCTCGTTGGTAATTTCATAATAATCGAAATTTTCACTACTAAATTCTCTATATATATTAGGATATTGATCCAATATCTTGTTACGAAAATAGGATCAGTCATAAATTGGCTTAGATTGGGTTGTAGATAATACATTTGCTGATGTACTTGTTTCAGCTTTTAGAGGAATATATGCATTAGTTGGATTAATTTTTGAAGTCACATGACTCTGATCATGAAGAATCTTTACGATTTCATTGTGTAAACTTGTCGCTGAATTCACATGATCTATAATATTTTGTATTTGTGGGTAATTGAGGCTCGAAATGGCATCTGTGCTATAAGAGACCTGTTTAATTTTCTCCAGTCCCAATGTATTGAATAATTTATATAATTTTCTAGCTCTAAGGATTTTTTGACGCAAATTCACATCTGTTATATCAGGTAAAAGCTGTTTGATTTCTTGATATACCATAGATGTTGCAGTTTTTTTCTTAACTCCACCAGCAACAACGTTATCAATCCTTTTGTCATATTTTCTATAAAGTAGTACCAGTACAAAATTGCTTCTTGACCAAGCTTATTAGCTTTCCTGAACATGCAAACTATATTTTGTGCGGTATCTGAAGATGGATCCTGTTCTTCTGAAGTTTGATCTGACGTAGATGTATGTGCAGATGATGATAACTGTTGCTTTAACTCCTATTCCACAATTATATTTTTATCCAACTTAGTAATAACTTCATCTTGCTGATCGGATTTAAGTTCCTCCATGTCACATGACTCTGATCGTGAAGAATCTTCACGATTTTCAAGATTACATGCTAATTTGGATGCGTTAACTTGCAGTTGCTTTGATAAGACACAAGATGCGGAGCTTATGAACTCAGAACTAGCCTCATAAGATTGTGATAAGTCTTGCTCGTCTTGCTCTGAAGTTAACATGTCTGTGACCTCAGGAATTTTAGTCACGTCCTGAGAAATTACAAGTGCCTCTTGATCTCTCTGCTTCTTTTCCAGCCTCCTCTCTCTAATCTCATTGCTAATGCTTTTCTTATACGCCTCATCTAAGAAATCAACCATTTCCTTATCGTTACCATAAAGGTCACTAGGTGCTCGTCCTACTTCATTATTGAGTTGATCTATTACAGAATCGGATACATCAACAGTTGGTACCATCACTACTGGCATCGCTTCTTCATCATTTTGTGTCTAACCAAATGACAATGCCATCCCATCCACTGCTGAACCTTGTTCTAATAATGCAAGTCTAGCCTCAAGCTCTTCAACTCTAGACTTGAGTTCAGCATTCTCAGCATCACGCCTTGCATTCTCTTCAATAATTTGCTTCAACCTCGCATTCTCAACCTCAACTTCAGCAAATTTCTTTTCAAGTACAGGAATCTTATCATTCTTCTTTCTAAGCTCGTCAATCTCAGCTAAGAGCTTGGAATTTAATTCTCTCAATGAATTAATGGATTGCATGTTCGATAATAATTTTTTATATGAGATGGAATAATTCAAAAGTTCGTTAGCATAGTTAGCATAAATAAAAAAAAACGAGGTAATATCCTCATCAGAATTACTGATTTATTGATGTAAAAATAGGTTACAAGATTGTGAAATAGAGTTTCTATTCTAATGCCTGCCAGTGTTTCGTTCATCTAAGCTATTTATTAATACTAACAATAATCTGGTTTCATTCAATATCCTATATAGAATAAATATAGATTACTTATACGAGACTGCAACATCATCTGTAAATTATCACATGGCGAAAAGTTGCAAACAAATCACGTGACACTCAATATTATGCTAGTCACATGGAACGTCACTTGTAGAATATATCCTTCCGTATTTATCACTGATAGCCGTGTTTACTAATACAGTCAGGGGATATACCAAAAAAGGAAACGGGTTCTAGAATATTTTATTGCAGATTCTTGAAATTTGATTG